AAACAACAACATTTTCCAGAAAGGGAAAGGTGGCGTGGTGATCTGTGGATTTGAGGGATCACGGAGTCATATATCTCTCCAAATATTAATGGAGTTACCATTACCTATCCTCCAACAGTTATGATTTCTGATGATCTCCTTGGTGGTTAAGAGATTGTTCCAAATAAAGGATGGGTTGCTGCTACTTCTAACATCTAAGAATGAGGAGCATGAGTAGTATTTTGCTTGGAAGACTCTTGCAACAAGGGACGAGGGGAATTGAATGAGTCTCCAAGCTTGCTTGCATAACAGTGCATCGTTAAAGAGGTCCAGTTTCTGAAAGCCAATACCATCCCAATCTTTGGGAATACAAAGGTGTGACCAAGATTTCCATTGAATATCGTTACGGTTGCAATATTTGCTCCCCACCAAAAAGCATTCATAGCACATTTAATCTCTCTCACATTTTCCTTTGGTATTTGAAATACACTCATAGCATAGGAAGGTAGTGATTGTATCACACTTTGTATAAGAACTTCTTTTCTGGCTCTTGATAAGAATTTGTGATTCCAGCTGCTGATTCTGCTAAGAACTTTATTCTTAAGGAATCCCAAAATATCCTTTTTGTTTCATTCTACTACAAGTGATGATAAGCCGAGATAATTTATAGAATTTCATATCTCTCCAATCTCCATAATGATGCGTATCATAGATCTCAGATTGTCATTAACATTAAGATTGAGAAAAATTAAGAGTTGTGTTATTCATATTCAAACTTTTCTCCTTCCAATAAAGTGTTTCACGTTTCACGTCTCAAAATGAAATGGTCTCACGTACTTTTTTTTCCTCTACCCATCAATTGTAAGTCATATTATGAAAGAATTTATGAGATATAAAAAGCATTTTCTCCATTTTTAATTATTTGTGAAATAATATAATAACTATCTTCTCCCAAATATAATAACTATCTTATAAGAGCCAATGAAAGTTATATTACTCAATTATGTCTATTTTTTAATGCTTTTCAAGTTGTACATTATTTTTAAATTAAAATATAAATTGTCATAATTAAAAGTTGTAGTTATATTTTGAGTAAAAGTACCTTGTTAACCAAGGGCCTTATAGTTTAATGATACCATGTTGTTTCCCTATGTGGGAGGTGATAGGTTCAAGCCTTAATGGAGGCATTTGCATGTTATATGTTGTATTTCTTCATTAACCAACAAATTCCACTTGGCCACTACCATTAAATATTGCAAAGTCATATATTGTATTCCTTTATCTACCATTATTGAGGTAATTTTTATTCTGAAAATTCAAACATTCATCTTTCAGGAAAGTTACAAGTATATGTTCGAAGTTTAACTGATTAATAGATGTCCCAAGTTTCAAATTGTATGTCTTTTGAAAAGTATTAAGAATTTCGGTATAGATGTAAGGATGTGCAACTATCAATTAGGATGTCTTAAAATTATATTATTTTAGGTAAATGTTTCCGAGCATTTCCACAAAAAGCAAGTGTTTATTTTATCTAATGTGAGTACTTCTGTTACCTTATATTTTGCATTATTCAAATTTTTGAGAAGTGATTAATACAAATTTCTCCAAATTTTGTATTTGTTAATGAAAGAGTATTGTGGGATGTTTAGGTGGATTGATATAACACGGCGTTTGGTTGGAGGGATTTTAAATTCCCTTCCTACTTAATTCCCACCTAATTCCAAAGACCATTAAATTCCGTAGTTTGGTTGGAGGGAATTGCAATTCCATGGAATTGCAATTCCCCCATTTTCATGGAATTAAAATCCCATGTCCCCCCCTGGTATTTTAATTCCTGAGAAAAAAAGATAGTGATGAGTCAAAATTACTCATTCCTTTTTTAACCTAAAATTAATGTCTAACAACAATAATGGACATTTTTGACTTTATACTACTTATTCTCTTTCAATTCCCATGTATACCAAACATTGAAATTGAAATTCCCAGTAATTCTATTCCTGTCAACCAAACACTGGAATTTAAATTCTCACTTTATTCCCAGTAATTCAACTCCCATGGAATTACAATTCCTTTCTCACATAATTCCCCCCTCCAACCAAACGCCCTGTAAATGTTTATGAGTGTGTTGTGAACATAATCCGAGCGTTATTGAAGATTTTTGATAAAAAAGGAGAATGAGAATGACACGTTAAAACATAAAATTGGGAAAAAAAAAAAGAAAAAAAGAAAAAAAAAAAGAGAAAATTGTGTTGAGGAAATTTGTAGCAAGTCTAATTGGTAAATTTACCAAAAAAAAAAAAGAAGCTCAATCATGTGTACAAGCGCAAATTATGTTGTGGACTCGTGTCCACAATGCATTGTGGACACGAGTCCAAAACAACGCCATTTTAAGGGAAAACGCGGCATTCCAGTAAAAGAAATTGATTTTGTCTCGTCGTTAATGGCGTTATTCGTTTGTGGCATTATGAATGTACAGTTATGGAATTATGAATGTACAGTTATTGAATTATATATGAATGTAAGTATACACTTGTTCTTTTAATATCAACTATACAGATAGATGATTATTCATCTTATCAATAAAAATATTCCAACTGAAGAGTCGGTTGTGCAAAAACGTTAACTGATGTTTGGTAATTAGTACTTAGTATTGTATTTGAACTTTGGATTGCTATTTTGTTATATAATGTTTAGAGTTTAAATTTGGATGATGTGAATATGTATTGTTTGGTAGTATGTTCGAAAAATTAAAAAATGTTGAAATTTGTGGATCTTAAATCGAACCGAATCGAACCCCGAACCGAATTAAATCTGAACTGAAATTGAACCGTTTCAAACCAAACCAAAACCGAACCGAACCGAACCCTAATGCTAAATCGAATGGTTTAACTTTTTTAAAATCGAAAAACCGAAACCGAAAACGAAAAAATCTAATCGAAACCCGAAACGCCCACCCTTAACAAATAATGTCCAGGCAATTTGATAATTTCATCAAAATAAATTTATGGCCATGCTCAAGGAAGGGACATTATATATATATATATATATATATATATATATATATATATATATATATATATATATATATATGAGATACATATGAGGACTGTAGTTTTGTGTGTTTGTGTAATTCAAACATGTCAGTTCCTAAAAACGGATATGAATAAACTAGAGATGAAAGCATAAACATTTCTAAATAAAACGTAGACAGAATAACAACATAACTACATAAGAATTTATCCTTTCAGCCAAAAAAAAAGAAAGGAAAAGAGACCCTAAAATTTTATAATCATTTGCCTGGTGAAGACATCCCATCAATGAAAACAAATCCAAGCATAAATGCATAATTGAACCTTTATATGCAAAAGAAAAGGAAAAAAAAAAATTTACTTCAAGGAGGCTGAGAAGCTCGCCAGTGGATGAAGGAGGTGTAGAGAGCTGAATTCCAGACTGAATGAGCATTTCCTCAAGCTCCTTTTGTAAAGGAAGAAGTGCAGCAACAGCAGAAGCCATCATTCTCAGCAAACAGAGCCCTCCCCTCAATCAAGAGTTCAAGACTGAAAGCCCTAGAACTAGAGAACCCAAATTAATTGTACTTCACTCGAAAAGAGGACCCCCTAGATACCCAAAATACAGCAAATGTAAATCCGGATAAAGAAATGCTGAATTGGAGTTGACAGAGAAGGATCGGTTTATATGCTCATTTATGCGCGGTTGTACAATGCTGAGTTTGTAATCCTGTCTGGTTTCTTCTGCTCTTTGTGTCATTAATTCCATTCCATCCAAACAAATTCCATATGTGCTTTTAAGTCGCGCTCTGAAGAATCAACTGCCAATTTTCGCCAAAGAGCGGTTTTGTATTTTTGTATTTCACTAGCTTTGCAACATAAGGGGCATAGTTCATCACATCACAGTGTAATCTCCTTGCCTTGAGGAGATCCTTCGTTGGGAGACAGTTCACGCACAATTGCCAGAAAAAAAATCCTCACCTTTGGGTTCACAATATCTTTGCTCTCCTCATATTCTTATTTGATCTCCATTTGCTGTGCTTCGTAATAAGCTCTTCAGTTTCTAGTAACCTGCTCCATATAAATGAGGGAAAAGAGCAACCAGGATAGTATCTTGCCTTATAAATTCTAGCCACTACTAAAGAGTCCATATAATGTATAAGTCTCCAAGATTGTTTATTCCAGCTAGCCCAATGGATTCCTCTATTTGATCTACCTCCCCCATCCCACCAATATGAATTTAAGATGACTTCAATTTCATGTAAAGGGTTCTTTGGTAGAAGAAATATAATTGGTATATCGTGCACCAGGGCGCACAATAAAATCTCATGTTTCGTATATACATAATTGTATAGTAGAATACACATAACCATCTAACATAATACACATAATCTGATCTAACATAATATATAATAATACACATAAACTTTTATTTAACATAATACACATAAACTCTTAACATAATACACATAAACTTTTAGGGTGCACGGTATAACTTGCCGAAGAACAATTGTTATGCATGGTGCACACGATTGCAAACGACGTCGTTTCACTATTGTGGAGTAACGTTGCCGTTAGTGACACTGGTTAACTCCACCAATCATTTTTTTTATTACACATCCATAACTTCATAAATACACATTCAGAATTACATAACTACACATTCATAACTTCATAATTATACATTCAGAATTGCATAACTACACATACATTAACTTCATAACTGTTCAGAATTGCATAACTTCATAACTATACATTCAGAATTGCATAATTACACATCCATAACTACATAACTATACATTCAGAATTGCATAACTACACATCCATAACTTCATAACTATACATTCAGAATGTGAAATTATAAAATTATGATCATATATTTACGTAACTAACGGCAACTGAAAATGATTTTTTTAAAAAAGTAAAACGACGCCGTCCTCAACTCTCTTCCTCTTCCTCTTTACTCCATCAGAAAGCAAACTCAGTCAGTTACACGCCCCTGTAAATTGCATCCATGTTATGTTACAAAGAGGCAGTTGGCTAACCAATAAAATCATAGCTTGCTAACTAGATAATATACAATGTGGGAATTTAACTCACTTCTTTGACTAGAACCTCTTCAAGAAATCATAGCTTGCTAACTAGATAATGTACAACGTAGGAATTTAACTCACTTCTTTGACTGGAACCTCTTCAAGCAATTCCCAGCGCTCACATCTGAGATTCAAGATTTATACATCATCATCAGTGTATATGACCTACAACAGTACAGTAACAGAAAGCTACTTAGCACGTTAAAATTAAAGGAAGATACAAGATAAAGCAAATACATCATGATACAGATGTTTAAAATCTTTCCATGAATGTGATGAAGAATCAATGCATGCTCTTATTGCTCTCTTGAAATAGAGGAAACAAAGACATGATTCCACCACATTTTTAATGTGCTTTAAGGCTGTAAACTATAATTATACACCTTTGGGGCTTTTCCCTAGCTCTTGTTAATCTAGGTACAAGAAGGCAATGCCCTCTGGCCTCTACTTAAAACCTGCTCTCCTGGGCTTGGCTTTGTGTAGTTCAACATTTGGCCTCTAAGTAAAAACATTAGTGCGTTATTGACAAACAAATACTGGAGAAATATCTCGAAATGGATTGGGCAGAAATTAGAATAATGGGAGTTGGTTTATAATTGCCAATATAATGGAGCATGAGTAGTCAAGATGCGTCAAACTCAGCCTAAATATCACTATCCTAGAAAAGCAAATTGTTAGGGAAGAGCATTTGCCCTTTATCTTGGAAAATCCTATTTTTGAAGATAGAAAATAGTATATCCAAAGGGCAATTATATGCAACACATAAAATACAGAAATATCTGCCCGTTGGGCTTATGTACCGTGTGCTTTTCTGTCTTAGGGTTAAAAGAAGAAATCACCCCCTCATAAAACCTGTAAAGAGAAAAGAACAGAAAATATGACAAGAATTGCTTGCATAATTTACTAGACAACTTAATAGCGCTTCTTCTTAGACTTTTTTTTTTTGAATGTTACTGACTCTATTACAATGTAGTATCTGTTCATAGCCACTTTTTCAACCTAATGAAGCACAAAGAACCAATATCGCCTCCACTGAGGCTCGAACCCACAACCTCCCATATAAGGGAGCAACTTGGTGCCATTGTGTTAGGAACCGGGATATTAGGATCGCGTCACAGGCTTAGGAACTTAAGAACACAAATGAATTGAAGCGTTTCTGGAGTGATTGTTCTCCCCAATCTTTCCTTAATAGAAAGCTTAAATTCTGAATTTCCAAAAGTCCCCCTTCTTCAATTACATAGGTAGGTATTTATACATAATAATATAAAACTACCCACCACCTAAGAAGGTGGCTATCCCACTATAATAATAATAATAATAATAATAATAATAATAATAATAACAACACTATGGTTGTTAATAATAATAATAATAACAACACTATGGTTGTAACACATTGGACCACAAGGTCCTTGGCAGCGCTTCTTAGACTTAAAAAAGCAAAACATTAAAAATACATATTAAAAGAATAAATCAAAAGTGCATAAGCTACATGTTTACAAATTAAATGCAACAATTTGTATATATTTACCATAGGATTCAAATAATGTAAATGCGATATCTCAAAAGGATTCATCTTTCAGACCTATAACCTTACGTGTCAAATTTATAAAATTGAATTTGAAGTTCAAAAACACAAGCTGTTAACAACGGAGGGAAATTGTCAAATGTTGTAATCAATGGAACAAGTGATGCTTTCCATCTCATAGGTAATAATGGAACAAGTGAAGCGTTCTATTTCAATGGGTACTAAAACAGCCATTCAATTTGCTCTTCTTAAGTACTTACCTTCTATCCCGGGGCCACCAGACTTTGACTTTAGCTCCTACCAACTCTTTTCCGTAATCTTTAATAGTATGAAGCTTTTTAGAATCCTGAATATGAATAAAAACCATAAGTGTACACACTTGGTTATTTTGCCCAAAAGAGAGTAATGACATATAAAACAAATAGGGTAAAATGTCATAGTTAGATGCAAAATATCAATGAAATGGCTATACAGGAAAGTTCATAAATTATACATATTTTATTTACTTTATACAAAATGTCAAAAATAAGCAAATTTTAATGAAGACTAATTATGTATTACCCAATTTTCAGTAGCAAAATAATAGTACTATATAACATTTGTAGTTGCTAAGAAAATTAAAAGATGTCGCATCTTAGAAATGTAATCTTAAGAAAACTGCATTTCATAAACATGACTTCTGGGAAAAAAAAAAAAAAACTTATATTTTCAGTGAAAAAGTTTCACTTGATAAATGCCAAGTTCTTCCATAGTCATAAAGGAAGTTGGATTTAGATGAAAAGCTTTACTTCTTATCTCCTATGAAATGCATCAGACATTCTCCCTAATCCTCACCTGTCACAAACATGATTGCCTCCGTAAAGACTTCATATAGAAAGATTTCAGGCAATTGAGCAGAAGTGTTTAAAAATTGGGTTAAAAGCTGCATTCTCTAATGCGGATTTTGATAGGATGAATATAGTAAAGTCTTCCAAAAGACACATTAGGGAAATGAAGCTTTTAAGAATTCTCATTTCCAAAATGTGTCTCCGGACATTTTTTTTCTTTTTATTAATAATCCAAAATGAATTACTCACCATCCCATTTGTGCCCCTTTTACAATTCTCTCAGCCAATTTAACCAAGCTTATGTTTTTATACTAATAAATTGAATTTTGAAAATAAAAATTTATATTTTGGAGTATTAACTAATAAGTATATATTCAATAAAATACATAAGAAATGGTACTTGCCTAATTTTTAAAGAATTCTGCTATATTGGAACATAAGAGATGATCATATAAAAAACAACTTTTTTTGAAACAAAGTAGAATGTGACCCTTCTCAAGGCGGACAAAGAGAATCAACTAATATTGTTTCAATAAGTTCAACACACATCTAGGGTTGCACTCATCAGAAAGTGCAATAATATGGTATAATCTTTTATGCATCCATTTTGGGTACCCTTGTGGTGGATAGGATTTACCGTTGAGTTACCTCAAGTTCAACATATGTCTAGGAATCACTGGTTGCAAAAAGGATAACACGATACTAAGTTTTTAATTTTTTGGTTACATTAATGGGGGCCATGGGGGACAGTGTTTACCAGTAAGAAATTCTAAACCCCTAATATGGTACTAATTATATCCCACCAATTTTTCACTGCAAATTGTAAGTTATAATAAAGTTCAAGAGTAAATTTCACTTATGGTCATATGACTATTAGGGTGTTGTCAATTTGAGTCCACAACTTTCAAAACTAACAATTTAATACTCTAACTTTTCAATTTTTATCAATTTTAGTCAGCCCCGTCAAATTGTCGGCTAATTGTCGCCGAAATCTTTTAATTCAGTGTTAAAATGAAAGATAATTTGTAAACCATTGTTTGAATTAATATAGAGGCAGGTGAGATGTGGATAAAAATTGGCGATAATTGGCTAGCAATTTGGCCGTATTGACTAAAATTGATAAAAATTAAATAGTTAGGGTACTAAATTGCTAGTTTTGAAAGTTGTGGACGACAATTGACAACACCCCAATAATCATAGGACCATAATGAAATGCAATCAATTCAATACGGGTTACGGCAAAGTTGAGTTTGTTGCGATAGCCCTTCACGGTGACGTCGTCCTGACTTCTGAGTAAGATTGTGGTGTTAGTTTTTCAAACAACAGCCAGAGATGCATCGGGACAATAACGGTTATCGTGCAAGAGGAAAACAAAATTGATTTGGTAAGAAGAAAAAAAAAAAGAAGAGAATTTTGTTGGTGAAAGGAGACTAGTTTGTTACCATGTGAAGAAAGATACTTGGATTTGATAGACTCAAATGGTTGGTACAACAGAGTATATATACAAGTAAGAAACCTAAACTTTAAAAATATGACTCTTCATATAAAACATTACAATGGCACCATTCCTTTGTTTAAAGCTTGCTTGAGCGTTTAGTTCTTGTGCTTATATTTTGGTGATGATTTCGTTGAAGAGATGACTTCTCTGCAAGTCTGCATCATTGGCTATTTCTTTTTCCTTCTTCTTTATACGTATAGTCAAACTAGGAGATACCTCACTCTTGCATGAATTCCTCCCACGATTTCCCTTGGAAGGCCTAGTTGCTTCAAATATCTTTCTCATAGTGAGATATGTGAAATCAACTTTTCCAACTGTCTTGCATAGGTTCTTGTTCTAAGAATCGCCAATGGTGTTCCATTGTCCCTTTTTCGCTAAATTTTGGTCTTTTATGAAATTTAAAGGATTTTTGGATCCGTTGTCAAAGTTTCTTTCCTGAGGGAGTTCAATTTTGGTATTACCGTATTTGCTTCTTCATTTTCAGTGTGCCTTATTTGTTCCATTTTATGTCCAAAGGCCATTTATTATTTCTCAAGTTTCAAGAAAGGGGGGCTAGGGGAGTATTACCATGAACCACGCATGTTTTGTTCTTTCATTGCTATGGGGCTTCTCTTTATCGCTTTGGCTATCTTCATTGCTATAGACCATATGTACCCATTTATTGCTCCTGCTCCATTTCACCTCTACTGCTCTTGATGAAGGCTTTTTTACATTTGTTCAAGAGTGTTTGTGTCACTTTGTTACCTTGAGCTTGTTCATGTTCAAATCCATCCTTGATGCTTTCAACTTCATTTCCAAGGGTTGTGTATACTGCCATGTCTTTCGACGACATTTAACACTATTATCCTCTAGCGGCATTTAATCTTCATTTGTAATTTTGAGTCAGGTGGAGTGTTTGTTTTAATTCAAGCGTGGAACTTCTAGATATTCCAGCTTGAGGGGAGTGTTGAATAATAGGAAGCCTTAGTCCTATTCCTATTAGGAGTAATCTTGATTTCCTATTCAAGGTAGGAATGGTTTAACCCAATGTTTCTATAAATATAGAATCTCTATACACTCTATACCGTTCAAGAAACATAGAGAGACAATCTATTATTATTAACATAATCATATATTCTCTCTATTCCAAGTATTCTCACATATTTTGCTTCCGCTTAGTCACCACCCACTAGGCTTTTCAATCCCTCACAATCAACACACTCGTTGGAAAGTGCAATAATATAGTATTACCAATTATGCATTCTTTTTTGGTACACTTACGGTGGAAATGATTTAATGCTGAGATACCTCAAGTTCAACATATGTCTAGGGGTGCACTGGTTGCAAGAAGGAGAATATGATACTAAGTTCCTAATTTTTTTATTTTCTTGGAATACATTAACGGTGTGTTTGGAAACGCGGAAAATGATTTCTGCGGGTTTTTAGTGTTTGGTAAGTAAGAAAACACTAAAGTCAAAGGAAAATGAAGTTGGGTCAATGGAAAATAGAGTCATTTTTATGGAAAATGACTTCCCCCTTTTTTTAGAGGAAGTCATTTTCCGCTTCAAGCTTCTTCTCCGCTTCAAGCTTCGCTTCTCGACATCGGAAACTATTTTTCGACTTGGAATCATCTAGTTCTGGATTTCCAAGTCTGACTTGGAAATCCAGAATATGGTTTTCCAAGTCGGAAACCAATTTGGCTTCCGACATGGAAATCCAAAATCTGGGTTTCCAAGTCGGAAACCAGTTTGGTTTCCGACTTGGAAAACCAGATACCGGAATCCAGATTGGTTTCCTTGACCAATCTGGTTTCCGGCAATTGGTTTCCTTGCCGGAAATCAAACCAGTCTCTGGTCTGGTTTCCGGCAAGGAAACAAGTTCAATGTTATTAAAAAAAAATAATATTTTTTTTTTTTTGGTTTATACATGAAGTCACATCTATTGTATGTTTTCTTGCTCATTCTCTGGAAAATGAACCAAACACATAAAGGAAATTTTCCGTTGTTTAGTCAAACACCGGAAAAGAAAATGTTTTCTGGAAAATGACTCATTTTCTAAAAGTCATTTTCCTGCTTTCCAAACGGACCCTAATAGAGGACACAATTTAGCAGTAAGATATCCTAAACCACTAATATGGTACTAATTAGAGATAGAAGAGAAAGTGGCAGATGGAAATTTATGTTTTAATAGAACTCAATTAAGAGATGCAAACCAATTAGTTATGGGTTAAGGCAATGCAGAAATATAATGATTAGCAAACTGAATAGATAGAATCACAAAGATTACTCTAACCAGAAATCTAGAGAATCTGCAAGCACCATTACAGTAGTACCTTTTCTTTAAGTTTTCTCTGGGCAGACCTAGTCCCTTCATATCTCTTTTGCACGGTGAGACCTGTCTGATTCTTCTTTGGTCGGCCCCTTTTGCAAGGACATTTCTTCTCTTGTTCCTTCTTGATAGTAGGTTCTTCATCAGAGCATTTGCTTTTGTTCATCCCAAAAGAATCATGTCCCTTATCAGGTCTTATCTTCTCTGACAGTGCACTCAGATCCATTTGTTGTTGCAACTCTTTTGTATTTTTATGCATGGGATCAGACGGTGCATCAGTATCTTTTAGCTGTTCAGCCTGATTGCGAATGTTTAATGCCTTCAATGACCCATCAGGTTCCAGGTTATTGTTATTGTTATTCATTGTTGGAGTGGCATCCAGTAGTGGTACCTGAGGAAGTTGAAGTGCAGATGTTCCTTCTATAGGTGGTACAGAACCAGCATTTTCCACCTGATCATTCACAAAAAAAATGAAAAATTAGATTGTTATCCATTAGAAGGAAACCCCCTCCTCCCACAAACACAGAAGAATATCATATTCATCATATCTCAATGTAGAATGGCAAGTGACAGCATAAAACAAGCAGATCAGATGCCCATGACTTAAATCTAGACAGTATTAAAGACTTCTTCTTTAAGGATAAATGGTTCTATGATTTTAAAATTAAGGAAAAATTGCATTTTTGATCCTCCAGTTATACTTGTGGTATAGACTTAGTCCCTGAGTTATATGCGTGACCATTTTTAACCCCAAAGTGATGCATGGAGTGGCAATTTGAGTCCTTGAAGGACCAAATCAGCCACTTTAGTAAGTGACAAATTGGCGGTAGAAAGTCCCTGAGGGACTAAAATCGCCACTTCGTGCATAACTTCGGGGTTAAAGATGGTCACACATATAACTCAGGGACTAAGTTTGTACCGTGGCTATAACTAAAGGACCAAAATTGCAATTTTCCCAAAAACTAATGCATCTCTTGACTACCAAACCTTACGCTGACAGCAGATAATAGATAACAAAGTTTTGAAGCTTGAGAGCATAACCTCAACCCAACTCGACCAATCCTAGCTTAGTTAAGTTCAGTTATATGGATTCTGTTTCTCCAATTCATTCTTATTAATGCTACATCAGTCATAACTTCTTGCAATAGTACGTCTTTCTTAATGTCTACTCCCTTCACCTAGCTTCTAGCCTTCAACAGATTCCAACTGCTCATTCTATCCAAGAGCATACGCTGAACACACCCAAATTATCTTAATCTATAAACATCTTCTGATCTTCAAAGGAAATACTACAGTAGGAAGTCAACAAGTTTAATGAAAAATACGCAAACACATAGATACCATGTTTTCTCCCTCAGGAACTTCATGCAATATTGAGCCAAGTACTTTGCAATAATCATCCAAATTCATGTTCATATTTGTCATTAATTCTAAAAGACAAGGCTTCAATCTGGCAGCACACTTTTCCAAGTCTTCTTTTCCCAATACCATTGAACAAGGTGCAGTAGCCTAGATAAAAACATACATAGTTAATCAAATAATTGAAAACAATGTTTGGAGATAGCATCAATATTTGCATAGTGATTATTACCAGAGTTTCCTTTCTGAGGCTTTCAAGAATGGAAACTTGAAAATCTAGTGAGACTTCATCTCTTTCTTGTATGAGTTGAGACATGATGTCTACCATGTATCTTAATACAGCATCGGTATGGTTGAAGCTTGATAAAAAATGATAGGTCAATTCTATAGACTCATTAAAGAGTACAAATGTACAATATAGCAGAACATTATACTATAGTGTGTAAGCTTCCAAGGAAACTGACTTGGTGAAAATATCAAAATTATACGCTATATGATATGAACAACTAGAAAATACCTGATGATTTTGAGAAACAGTTGGAAAACGTTAACAGCTAACACATAGTCAAAATCCAATAGCATCACGCCCAACCTGTACTTCGCAACGGCTTCAAGAACTCTCAGAGCCTTACTGTAGTAGTTACTATCAATGTCATATAACTTTTCAAGGGATGCTATAATCTGATGGAAAACGACCTGAGAACCAAAAGATGATATTTTTTAAACATAGATGCACATATATGATATATGTTAGACTGCTCAAGTAGAAAGAAATAATAAATAAATAAATACTAAAATTGTTTGCAACCCGGCCTGAGTTTTGAAAAAGTATTAAATACCTCCATTTCTGTATTATCATAGGGTAGAACGGGTGCAGATATTCTCATAATTTCACAGATACAAGATGCAACAGAAACCTCAATGGTTTTATCAGAATGTCTCAGAAGTTTCGTTTCAATCAGCGCTTTTTTAATTGGCTCAAGTACATTTCTCATCGACACTGAAGGGTCTTGCCCTATGCTCTTCAGTTCTGATTCAGCTTTCTAAAAGAAAATGCAATGCAACAGAAGAGTTAAAACAACAGTAGTAAACATATAATGTCCAGATGAGGACTACAGTTCTGATTCAGCTTTCTAAAAGAAAATGCAATGCAACAGAAGAGTTAAAACAACAGTAGTAAACATATAATGTCCAGATGAGGACTGTAGTTTTGAGTATGTGTGTGTGTGTAATTCAACATGTCAGTTCCTAAAATCATATATGAATAAACTAGAGATGAAAGCATAAACATTTCTAAATAAAACGTAGATAGAACAACAACAACAACAACATAAGAATTGATCCTTTCAGCCAGGAAAAGAGACCCTAAAATTTTATAATCATTTGCCTGGTGAACAAATCCCATCAATGAAAACCAATCCAAGCATAATTGAACCTTTATATGCAAAAGAAAAGGGAAAGAATTTTACTTCAAGGAGGCTGAGAAGCTCGCCAGTGGATGAAGGAGGTGTAGAGAGCTCAATTCCAGACTCAATGAGCATCTCCTCAAGCTCCTTTTGTGATGGAAGAGGTGCAGCAGCAGCAGCAGAAGCCATCATTCTCAGCAAACAGAGTTCTCCCCTCAATCAAGACTGAAAACCCTAGAACTAAAGAACCCAAATTGTACTTCACTCGAAAAGAGGACCCACAGACACCCAATCCAGCAAATGTAAATCCGGATAAAGAAATTCTGAATTGGAGTTGACAGAGCGGATAAAGAAATGCTGAATTGGAGTTGACAAAGCGGATAAAGAAATTCTGAATTGGAGTTGATAAAGAACGTAACGAACGGTTTGTGTGTGGATTCCTGCTCATTTTTGCGTTGTTGTAATCCTGCCTGGATTCTTCTGCTTTTTGCGTGATTAGTTCCATTCCATACCAAACAAAATCCATATGCGCTTCTAAGTCGCGCTCTCAAGAATCAACTGCCAATTGTCGCCAAAGCTCTTCAGAGGGTTTTTGAATTTTTGTCTTTGGAGGCGAAGGGCCTTGGAGATGCCTTGAATGTCTCTGATAAAATCTATATATCTATATATCTATATCTATATATCTATATATCAATATCTATATATATATATATATATATATAAAAGTATAATCCTCCTAACAAATTTTCCCCCCAAAACTTTTATAGTAAAATTTATTTGGTAAGTAAATGTCAAATGGAAATTAAATAAATAATAATACTAATAATAATAATAATGTTATTACCTTAAATAAATAAATTATTATACTTTCCCTTAAATAAATAAATTATTATACTTTCCTTTTGAATTAGTATTTCCTACCTATAAATACAAGGACTTCTTTAATCAAAGAATCTCAGACTCATCTCTCTGCTTTCTTTTTGTATGAATTTTCTACATTTTTCTAACTATATTCTTACGTACTTCAATATGTTTTGCAGTTTATATCGTCTGGTATGAGTTTGAAGATACTTAAGGAGGCTCTACTTCAACAAAAGGAAATTGAGGAGGAAGAGCATTTGTAACATAACTCTATTGGTTTAGTTTTTATGGAAGATTGTAGAGATGCGATCGAGGATGATAAAGACGGTAATTTTGATAATTTTGTAATATTTTTTGAAGTTTAGAGTTAGTATGTTGACTTCGAGATTTGTACATGTCATTCAAGTTTCTATGTTTTTTTTAACAAGCAGCGTTAAGGACTTACGTGGTTCGCTGGGCAAAAGAGCAATCAAGCAAAAGCTAAATCGAATTGAGGTGTGAGGACGTTGTAGATGAATGCCTTTTCTCATCCTACTTAGTCATTTTCTGGAGAGAGTGAGAATGTGATAGTGAGTAAAGAGAAAAAGGAAATTGAGAGACTTTTGTTTTTTTTAACCAGAAGTTTATATGTTTTTTGTTATACAAATTTATAATTGTAAATTTATATTAATAAATAATTATTCAGACAAGTATACTTTATTTTATATTGAGGACACATTATTTTAAATAAATTTGATTTCAATATAATGAATAAAAAAAGTACCTAAACCATACAAAGAAACGGAATTGTGGAACGAATTACATATTTAATGTACTAAGTAAGTGCTGATTTGTGCTCAAATATTGTGGTTCTTTCTTTTCTAATGATATGTTTTATTTTAAGATTGAAATCTCACGTGTATAATGCAGTAATAGATTTTGCCAATGTGGCAATTTTATCAAGAGTAATATTATACCTTAATTATAAAAATTCTACCTAATAATTTTAGTATCAAATGTCATACAATAATTACCATAAACAATGTTTAATAATTGACAAATTCTATTAGGCAATAAAAATTACTATTATAAAATCTTTGGTAATATGTACACATTATTTTCAAGAAGGAAATGAAAATTGCTTTGGTTTTCAAAAAAAAATAAATTGTACACATTATTTTTAATTATTTTGATTTAATAATATTATATCTTATTTAAAAAAATTAAAATAATAGTACTATTAACTATTGATTGACTAAACATTATCTTAATTATTAAGACAATTCATAGGTATTTAGCTTTAAAAAATTTTCAAATATATAAATTATACATAGTAGCATAGAATCAATTAGTAGGAAAATTATATTAGGTAATCTAATTAATAATTTACTTTTTAAATTATATCCCCTTCATAATGAATATTTTATTAAAATATATACACAAACAATGCTTATCAAAATAGAATTAAAAGTATATATATATATATATATATATAATATATATATATATATACACACACACACACACACATACGTAATGTATATTATTATTAGTACAAAATCAATTATACTTGCCTTAATAATTACTATGTAATTATTAATATTATTGCCTAATAATTATGTATTGTCATCTTTTTCGATGTAATTATTATGGTAATTTATATACATATATATTTTTATACTTAATGTATAATATTAATGACACAAAATGAATTATACTTACCTTAATATATAATTAATTTTTAATATAATTTCCTAATTTTTATTAAAGGTAATTATTCTCATAATTTTTCTTTCCTTCTTTTTGTGTAATTATTATAGTAGTTTTATGGTTATGTACTTAAATATTGGAAGAGAACAAATATTATAATTAATATTAATATAATATAATTAATGAAATTATTATGGTAATTGCCACAATATTTGGTAATTATAATTAGTATAATTAATGAAATCTATATCTATATCTATATATAATTAAAATTAAAATCTTTCTTGACAAATTGTCTCCCTCAAAATTTAAGGGCATTTCTGTAATATCATCCATTATATATATATATATATATATATATATATATATATATATATATATAGATATTTTATACAATTAATAATATTTCATATATATATGAGAAGACGATATTATTATACTAGAAAATTTGGAATTTATGCATAGTGCATATATAAATTACACAGAATTTATAAAACGTTAATGTTAATGTTAATGTTAATAATAATAATAACAACAACAACAATAATAAATCATAATAATAATTTTAAAGTCTGAATTATAAATTAGGTATTATGGTAATAATTAATATATATATATATATATATATATATATATATATATATATATATTATTATATATTATTATTATTATTTATATATTAAAAAAAATCATCCTATTTCATTTTCTCGTCCAAACTTTTGTAGTAAAGATTATTTGGTAAGTAAATGTCAAATGAAAATAAAATAAAATTTATTAATTGGTAATATTATGTATGGTATTATATTATATAATATAATTGATAATATTATTGTTCAAGTATAATAAAAATCTTATGTAATAATGTAATAATAATAAAATTAAATTAAATTAATAATAATAATAATAATAATCCAAACAGAACTATATACAAAATAAAATTAAAATTTTTTTAAAAGAAAATAAGAAGAAGACAAAGGTGTCTCCCCTTTGTAAATGATGTGGGTTCATTGTGATCCCACATTGAAAATGTTTGAAAAGAGGAACTCTTGAACTCCTCTATATAAGAGGAGCAATGCTCCTCTTACAAACATATATAATTGTTTGCCCATCAATGTGGACAAGTATTGAGAAGTTCAAAGACTTTTTTTTTTTTTTTTAAGTACTATTGACCCGTCAAATTATGCTGTGGAATCGTGTCCTCCTTGCTAGGTGGACACGATTCTAAAATTGTTCATAATTATAAATATATAGTTCAAAAATTATGAATATATAGTTTTATAAGTATGAACATAGTGTTGTGAACATAATTATGAACATATAATTTTGTAATTATGAATATAGAGATTCAATAATTGTGAATATGAAGTTCAAAAATTATGTATATATATATTTATAATTATGAATATATAATTCAGTAACTATGAACATAGAATTCTGTAATTATGAATATGTAATTCAATAATTATGAATATTTAGCTTTATAATTATGAACATATAGTTAAGTAATTATTAACATAAAAATGTGTCCACCTTGCAAGGTGGACACGGTTCCACAGCATAACTATTCAATTGACCCTGTTACATGTAGTATACGTTCATATAAAGTTTCTCAACCTATTGAAGCCCAACGTGTCAAAAAGACTCTTATTTAAGAAACATTATCTTAATGGCTTCTTATTTTAGTTTTTTTATTTTTTTTATTTTTTTTTAATTTATTAGGGGGTTTGGGAAAGATTAACCCAAAATGTATATGAGTTGTTTTAGTTTTTAGCAATTTCGAGCAAATTGCTAAGTTATTAAATAATATTTTTAGTGTTTTGATTAAATATAAAATATTAAACAGACGAATTTCTTAAAATTTTGGCAAATTTGCCAAATAATCAAATTACAACAACAGCAACAATAATAATAACAACAACAACAACAAAAATAATAATAATAATAATAATAATAATAATAATAATAATAATAATAATAATAATAATAATCCAAACAAAACTATATACAAAATAAAATTAAATTTAAAAAAAAAAATGACAGAGGGGAGTCACGGGCTCCTTTTGTAAATGATGTGGGATCATTTTGATCCCGCATTGAAAATGTTTCAAAAGAGAGAGTTTCTCTATATAAGAGGAGCAATGATCCTCTTACAAACATAATTGTTTGTCCATCAATGTGGGCAAGTATTGAGAAGTCTAAAGGCTTTTTTTTTTTTAATTAATTAACACAAACAACAAGCTATAAATAGCAAACAAAACTATATACAAAATAAAATTTTAAATTTTTTTTTTTAAAAAAAAAAAGAAGAAGACAAAAGTGTAAATGATGTTGGATCATTTTCATTCCACATTGAAAATATTTGGAAAATGAGCTATTGAGCTCCTCTTACAAACATAATTGTTTGTCCATCAATGCGGGCAAATATTGAGAAGTCCAAAATGTATATGAGTTGTTTTAGTTTTTAGCAATTTCGAGCAAATTGCTAAGTTATTAAATAATATTTTTGGTGTTTTGATTAAATATAAAATGTTAAACACACAAATTTCTTAAAATTTTGACGAATTTGCCAAATAATCAAATTACAATAATAACCACCACACCACCACCAACAACAACAACAATAATAATAATCCAAACAAAACTATATACAAAATAAAATTAAGTTAAAAAAAAAAAAAGACAAAGTGGAGTCACGGGCTCCCTTTATAAATGATGTGTGATCATTTTGATCCCACATTGAAAATGTTTGAAAAGAGAGAGCTCCTCCATATAAGAGGAGCATTGCCGCTCTTACAAACATAATTGCACAAAAATTATGTTGTGGAATAGTGGTCACCTTACAAGGTAGACAATGTTCTAAAATTGTTCATAATTATGAATATATAAAGTTCAAAAATTATGAATATATAGTTCTATAATTATGCACATAGTGAAAATGCTTGAAAAGAGGAGCTCTTGAGCTCCTCTATATAAGAGGTACAAACATAATTGTTTGCCCATCAATGTGACAAGTATTGAGAAGTCAAAATGTTATTATTTAAGAAACTTTAGTTTTGTCTTCTTATTTTAGTTTTTTTTTTATTTTTTA